ATCCATAGAGAACTTAATGGGGAAAAAGAAAGCTGTTTCTTTTAAAAGATTAACAAAATTGACAAATCTCTACTGCCACAGAAGCAAAATGAGATGATACAACTTATGAACATCAGGAATAAGTAAAACACATTGCTTTAGAGCCTTTAGGCACCAAATGGATAAGAAAGACTAGTATGAGTGACTGCGCAAACACATGCGCAAACAGGAGAGGTGCTCTGATTCCTCAGCAGACACAAACCACCATTAAGCACCTATATGAAATTTAGGCAGGTTCAATAACTGTTTTAAAATGAGCAGATGTATAACTATTAAGGAAATTAAATCTTTAAAACTTTCCAAAAAGAAATTTTAATTCCTAATGGGATCATTGGAGAATTTCCCCAGCTATTTAAATATGTCTATACCAATTATGTACATGTAGTCCAGAACACAAAAATAATCACATCTCCAATCCATTTTATTAAGCATGGATTACTTTTTTGTAAATATAGATGACACTAATATTACAGTTATATGAAAAGCAAAGTTACTAGCACAGCTAAAGCACATTAGAAAAGAATCTATTGGGAGGGATAACCCATGACTTGCTGTCATGACTTGTGAGATAATGAAGACTATGTGGCATTGGCAGACATATAGATCAGCTGATGAGAGTAGGGAATCCAAATGCAGAGCCACTCAAAATTGCTCAGCTGAATTTGACTAAGAGTCAAAAGTAATTTGATAAAAGAAAAACATTGTTACCAGATAATACTGGAACAAATGGATATTTGCCAGCACCAATATAAGTTTTAATTAAACCCTGATCTGCTTCTCACATATTATATAAAAATTAAATGAAAACATTTTAAGTTTAAACAAACTGCTATAAAACTTTTAAATGTGGGATAAAGGTTTTGTGCTGTTATGACTATGCAAATAGTTCTTAGACTTGACACCAAAATTCTGATTCATGATAGGAAAATACAGCAAACTGGACTTTTATAAACTTAAACAACTGCTCTGGGAAAGATTAAAAGACATGAAGAATTAGAGAGTATATTTACAACTATACAACTACACATCAGACAGTAGGATACTCTCTAACATGTATTCTCCGAATTTTCCAGAGAAAAACTGACTCTTCCTTTCTCCGTAACCATCACCAGTCCCAAACTCAGTTAAGGGCGAGGCTTCAGTCAATTTTCTTTCCTGATGTGGTCCATGGTAGGGCACCTATGCTCAGTAGATGGTCCTGTTTTCAGTGGAATGGGCAGTGCTAATTTTACTCAGTGGGTTGTGAAGAAGTGGATGAAGGAAAAAAAGAAGGAAGAAAGAAGGAGCAAGAAGAGGAGGAGGGGGAGGGGGAGGAGGGGGAGAGAAAGAACAAGAAAAGAAGGGTAAAAAGAAGCGGAGGAAGAATAAGAGGAGTGGCAGGAGAAGAAAATGAAGTTAGGAAGATGATACGGAGGCATGGAGAAGGAATTGGAGGCGGCGTGAGGACAGATACGATCTAAACACATTGTTCATGCATGAAGTTATCAAATCATATACAGTTTAAAAGTAGAAGGAAATGCACAAAAATCTTTTCAGAAAACAAACAGAAACAAATCATCCATATGAGAAATTACATCAAAGAAAGAAAAGGTGTATTACTGAATATCACATATAAAAAAATCAGCCTCATTAGACATTACAGAAATTTAAATTTAAACCACAGTGAAATATCATCACACTTCATGGGGGCTACAGAGATGACAGTGGTTAAGAGCACTGTCTGCTCTTGCAGAGGACCCAGGTTTGATTCCCAGCACAGACATGGCGGCCAACAACCATCTGTAATTCCAGTTCCAGGGGATCACAGATACTGATCTCTGCAGGCATTGCACAACACTTACACACATGCAGGCAATATACACATACACATAAAATTAAAAATAAAATATAAAGGAAATATCACACTTCAGAGTATTTAAAATAAGGGAAAAAGACAACAAATGCTGATGAGGAGATAGAGAGCAATCATCTATTATTGATAGGGGTACAAAATGGTATAAGACTCTTGGAAAATAGTTTGGTAGTTTCCCAAAAAGCTGAGTATACAGCTTTCATAATACACATGTGGAGAAATTTAAGAGTATATTCACATAAAAACCTATACACATATGATAGCTTAAAAGTGATATCCTTCTGGACTGAGAGATGGCTGAGAGGTTAAGAACACTGATTGTTCTTGAAGAAGACCTGGGTTCAAATCCCAGAACCCACATGGCAGCTAACAACTGTTCATAACTCCAGTTCTAGGGTATCTGACACCCTCTTCTGTCCTCCATGGGCATTGCACAACATGGGTGCACTTACACACATGCAGGCAATATACACATACACATAAAAATAATAAATAAAATATCAAAAAATGGTGTCCTTCAGCAGATGATGGTTAGCTGTGTTGCACCCATAACAAGAACTATTACTGAATAATGAAAAGGAATCAACTATTGGTACATGGTATACCCTGGATGAATCTCTGGATAATTATGGTAGATGAAAATCCAATGTAATATAGCTGGGCATGGTGGTACATGCTTGTAGTCCCAGCACTCAAGAGGCCAAGACAGGAGGTTTGAGTTGCATGGGTGTGTGTGTGTGTGTGTTATGTGGTGTGTGAGGCCAGAGGACAACTTTAATCAATTTTCTCCTTCTATCATGTGGTCCCAAGGAGTGAACCAATGTGATCAGGCTTGAGGAGAGAAGACTTTACCCACTGAGACATCTTGCTGCTTCTGCCCACCTCTTTATGTTGAGACAGGATCTGTCACTGAATTTGGAGCTGGCCAAGTATGTTAGACTGGCTAGCCAGTGAGCCCCAGGGATCTGCCTATCTCTGCCTCCCCATTGCTGTGATTGCAAGCATGTTTCACCACACCACACTTTTATGTGTGTTCTGGGCATTGAACTCAGGGTCCTCTGGCTTATAAAGCAAGTACTTTACTATCTGAGCCATCTCCCCAGCCCATACATATAGTATTCTTGAAGGTAGCTAAGGAAGCAATTATGTCTAATAGAGAAGTAAGTAAGGTTATCAAAAGAAAGCATGAGGAATTCTGAGGAGATGGAAGTTTTCTGTGCCTGAGTTGTATCAGTACTGCATCACCCGGACTATAATAGCAACTGTTATATTACTAATATAAAGTGAGCTGATATAATTTGGACCATTTGAGAATGGCCCATTGGACAAGTCTCAGCACACTGAGACCATTTGGACCATTTGAGAAGATAAAATAGCTAGAAGTGTGGGGGGGGGGGGGGGGAAGAGAGAGAGAGAGAGAGAGAGAGAGAGAGAGAGAGAATCCACAGAGGCTACAAGATGCTTATACCCTGGAGCTACAGATGTTTGTGTGCTGCCTGATGTGAGTGTCAGAACTGAATTAGGTGTGATCTTAGCCACTAGCCGTCTCTCTAGCCCCCATGAATCCTAAGAATTGAATAGAAAGGAGGACATTCAGGCCATAAGCCACAAGTGACTTTCTTACTCTGGAACCTCAGTGAATCAGGTGAGTTTCACCTTGAGGAACATGGTGATCGATATTCTTGAAGATGAGAGAAGCTATTTATTTAAAAAGCATTCCTTTTATGCCATTTCATCTGTGTCTGTCTTTACATTCTTTCATGTGAGAATTTTGCAGTATAGATCAGATAGCTGTGCTTTTTTAAAATTCCTTTTTATGAGCAAAATATGTGGACTAATTTAATGGATTGCAATTACAAAGAGAACTCTACAAATATCATACAGAAATTATCTCTAAAAGCAATATTAAAATATTATAAGAAGGAACAGAGTTAACTTCTAACTTTAATGTTCTGATAAGTTATGGAGTAAGAACTGGTACCAAAAGCAGGAGGAGAGCTGATTTTGTGAGACTTCTGACCACACAGTGCTTTAATCAGGAAAGGTTATTAGCTGTGTACCCACTGAACAGCTTCATACGTCCCCAGCCTCCAGCTCCTGATGGGCTCTATTCTACTTTATGCCTGTGAATTTGTCTTTTCTAGGCATATCCTTTGCATGCATCCATTCTATGGAAGGCCCTATGCATGTGTTCATTCTGTGGAAGGTCCAATGCATGCATCCATTGTCCATTCTATGGAATACCTATCCTTTTGTCAAGGTTATTCACTTAGCCTTTCTTCAATGCACTTTTCACATTGTTATTTCAAATTCTAGACCAACCATTTTTTAGAGACATCTGAGTCATTCCAACCTTTTTCACTTATTTTGTTCCTCCTGGAACTATTTTCTGGTCACTCTATCCTGATTGCCTCTTAAACATTGTTTAGGCCACAGCTTAGCAATCAATTCTCCAAAGAAAGTTTTCCTGAACCAAGAAATTGGATCAAGTCATACTGCTTTATTTTCCTACTGTATAATTCTCAGTAGGATTCTTATTTATTTATGTAACACGGTTGTCCTTCCTGGTCAGCTATTTGAGGCTAGGTGTTCACTAGTTCTTATATTTGAAATACCTGGTAAAATGTCTGGAATTTAAATGTTACTTCATGGCACTAGGTCTTTTAATCTTTTGAATCCAATCCTCCAACTCTTATTGAATGTGCTATAACAGAGTAGTATATGTAAAGCAATGAACATGATCAGAAAACTTAGGTTCTTTGATTCCAAGGTTTGATGTCAAGTGACTGCAACATTAGGATACAATCTAAATGCTCTGCAGTGTACTCCTACAAGCAAAAATAAAGTATATGTGTTCCAAATGTTTTAAGCTTCCTTATGATGAGAGTTGGCTTAGTTATTCGCATATCATTTGTAAAAGAAAAATCTGATGTGTTGATTGTATTCTAATTGCACATGTGGTAATCTTTAAAAGGTTATCAGTTTTATTTAAGTCAAAGGAAGAGGATTCATTTGTACAAATATAACAAAAGACCATAGTTTAAAATTTGTATGTGACTAAACCATTCATTAATCTCTTCTTTTTTTTTCCTTTTCATTTTTGCAATAGTCTTATTCCACATAAGTTGATGAATGATTGGAAAGAACTATTTTTTAATGGAAGCCCTATATATGAGCAGGCTTCTCTCAAGCATGGGGTTACTGAGTCCTCTGCAGAACAACGTGTAGAACTGGAGAAAAAGGAGTTGCTCGATAGCAAAGATTATGAAGAATATAAGGTACCTACTAACATGGAATAATCTGAGACAACAAACAGAATAAATTCCTTTCCGTAATGATAATTTGTGGTATTATTTTATTTAATTCTTATTAATGAAAACAGGTTACACTTTCATTTTCTCATATATATATGTAATATATTACATGTATATATGTAACTAATTTTTAGCTGTCTAAAGTATTCACCATTTATTATCTATTGTTCCAAGTAATATTAGAACAGTCTAAAAATAATTAAGCATTGTACATTGAACAAATAGATGTCAGAATTTTAAAGATGACTCACTAGAATTTTTCTTTTATGAGCTGTCTACTTTAGCTTAAAAAAAACACTGCTATGATTTTTCAAAATAACTTATCTCAATAGTATACTGTTTTGCAGGCAAAATGAAAAAAATAGGAAGTTATCTTTTTAAAGAATAGCATAAATTCACATAATATTTTATTCAAGGAATGAAAATTTATTGGGTACTGACTGTTGTTTTCATATATTTTCCCAGTTCAAAGTTATTTTATGTTTAAATCATACATATTTATGAAGTACAGTATGATAATTTGATATACATATACGATTGAATAGTAATCATGGCTTATAACAATGTGTTATAGTTTTATAAAGAATTCAAAGAGAGGAGTTCAAAATTTTTCAGCACAAAAATGATGGATGTTTAGGAAATTAAGTGTCAAATGTGCTTTTTAGAAGAGCTGTCCAGAAAGCTCTGAGATTAAATAGCGGTCCATCATTGGTATTGCGCATGACTAATTGTAGGCCTTAGGGGCCTAACCCCTTAAGTACTAAAGAGACTTGGTTTCCTGATTTATGAAATAATAATACCTCATTTTGCTATTATGAAACCCATTTAAGATGATGAATACTGAATAGTCTAATTCACTGTGTATGGATATAATACATATTCAGTTCTTTCACCACTCAATTCTCCATATCCACCATCTCACTCTTAGATCTTCAAAGCAGGTTCTGGGTAAATTAACAGCCATGGAATGAAGAGGAAGAATGTTCATTATTAGAAATCTTACTAAATAATTTCTAGGTTAGAAAATGCAGTAAGAAAACAGAAATGAGTGAAAGTTGATTTTACTCAGTCATTTGCTGAGAATCAGTAAATACTAAACGGTTAATACAATGGTGAATGAATAAGAGGCGTTATAACAATGAACATGGAAATGGAAAACAGAACTAATGTATAAATAGTAATGAATAAATAGTAAGCTGGTGGCAGAAAGTTAAGGAAGGAATATAAGATTATGTGTAACTAAGTATACAGTATAGTTTAACTTTAATGTATACTTTTACCTCAGAGAATTACTATTTCCTTAAGATTGACTGAAAGCTTAATAACTACATATAAATTTTGATTCTGTTATTTAGACCAGTTCCTATATCTCTATTATGTCAACCTAAAGTGTAATATCCTGTAAAAAAAAAGGCTAACAATTTCAAACTATATTCAGATATTTCTTGACATTATAAATTAAGAAGTCATTGATGTTAAATTAAAGCAGATTTATTTGACAGCTTTTGCTGATTCACAATTAGTGTTTGTTCCTCAGTTATTTCTTAAACAGTACAATCTACTCTGTTCTTGTTCTCATAAATCAGGAGACCAGATAGGCTACAGCTTAGCAAAGATTTGTGTTTCTAACTACTTTTCTTGTTGGGGAAATGGTTACCACAGGAACAGGCTTGTCTTACCCACATCCTGAAGCAGATGGTGTGTTTCTTCTACAGGAAATTGTCAACTTTTGTTAGGAGTTTGTGACTGTCTGCCAGTGCAGTTTATTTTGTGTAGAGATTTTCGTCTTAATTTTTTTATGAAATGAAAATGACCTATGATTTCAATGTTTATAGGGTTTGTTCTTTTTAACTACATGGTAAAATATTTTCAGGCATATAAATTTTCAATTATCATTTTCTATTTTAGAACTTTGTTCTTTTTCAAGAGGTTACTATAAATATTCCTAGATATATGTAAAAATAAATATTTCATTTTATGAACTACATTGTCTGTTTTAATCTATAACAAATGCAGGATAGTGTATCCTGGATTAGTTAATATCTGTCCATATTTGTTATTGTTAAATTTGTTCAAGATTTTCACTACTAGAAGTAAATGCAAAATTTAGCAGTTACTCTCCAGTCTTTAATGTTGATTAGGTTGCTCAATAGATTCAATTGTGGATAGATTGAATAGATTCAATAGATTTAAATTCCTTCTCTGGAGTAGCTTTTACCTTGTTCTCAGACTGCTCAGTAACTGACTCCAACCTGTACAATTTATTATTTAATCCATTTCCTTGTAGGCAATATATCAACTTGAAGCCTGTTCCATTCACATGGCATAGCTAGATAACTCAAGCACTGTGGAAGGTTTCAGTCAATGAATGTTAAGGTCATGTGGCTGTGTTATTTTTATTCATTTAAAAGATATACCTTAGGCATCAGTCTGCTTTATTAATAAAAATCTATGCATTGGCTTAACTGACAGATGTTAATTTTTTACAGTTTTGGGGTGTAGTAGTCTGAGTTCAAGGTATTAGCTAATTTGGATCTGTAATGAAGTCTTCTTTCCTGGATTGTAGATGACCATATTTCGTGATGCACTTGTAAGGTGGAAAGGAAGAGAAATCTGGTCTCTCTTCTTATAAAGATACCAATCCCACCAGAGAGTCCACCTTTATGACCTTCTCTATGCCTACAAAGACCATCGCATTGTGAGTTAGGGCTTCACCATATAACTTTTAAACATGGACACAAATTCTTAGCACATAACATACCTATTTATTCAAGACAATTACAAAATGTCTCAAAGTGGCATTCTCCTAATCAACCAATTATACAACTTCTAATTTCAAATGGCATTGTTTTATAGTTTTTTAATCACTTAAGAAAGAAGACTATGGAGATGATTTCACTTTATTAATCTAAATATAGATGTAGAGAATTTTGCTGCAGTATCCAAAAGAGCTCTGAAAGATATGATGTTTCTACATTTTCAGATAGGAAGGAATGCAGATCAGTTTTAAGTAGGCAGAGTAAGCAATTACTTACACAATAAGAGTTGGGATGTACTCTGAGGTCATTGTTCTGTAGATATGCCCCACATTATCTCATTCCTTTAGGTAAAGACATCAGCATCTGATAAAATGTAAACATTTCCTTAGATAATGAACAAAAATCAGGATCATCAGCCTCAAAACAAGAATGCTAGGAAAAGTTTTATGCTGAAAAAAAAATCCCCACAGTCCAATTTTTATTATAATTTTATTGTATGTTATTCTTTGAAATTTTCATGTAATAAACTCTACTCCCTTCTACACTCCCTTCTATCTCCCTCTCACCCCTGTCAATTACCCTTCTTCCTTCCCTGCAAGTTTTACATTGTCTATGTGCTTTGTCTTGTGAGCCCTTGAATTTAATGGGGGTTGTCTTGTCTCTGAGACCATAGGTTTGGAACTGCTGATTGCAGACTGGCGCACTCACTAATGGGTACACAACTGAACACTATGACTGTCCCTCACCTAGAATCCACCAGTAGCCTCTAATTCATCAGGGAAGTGGTACAATCCTGTGAGCGCCTTCCTGATCCATGACTAACAACTTAAAGACCCAGTCTTGTGCATGCCTACTGGGGGCAACTGCTGTTGTAGAATCATGTTTGCAAATGGCTTCAATGTCACTCCTCTCTTGGATTGAAGTTTTATCTCTACTTTCTACATTACCTCCGTAATATTAAGTCTATCTACTGGAGTTTGGGGACTAAATTGCATTGTGTTTTGCCAATGAGTATGGCACAGAATACTTAGCTGTGGTTCCAGCATAGTGATTCTAACTTACAGGGCAAAGTATCATTGTATTGGTTTTTAAAGGAAAACTGTAGACTTCTTAGTCACATATTTGCCAAGATAAAGGGCTGTTTTTCTAACTGAAGTGGGATAAGGATTTTAGGGAACTAGAACAGGCTCAGTAGATACCTGGCAACTGTGTTGTGAGATAGGGAAAATGGAAAGAAACGTAAGACCATGTGAAGCATATTTGGCATCAAATACTAGAATTAGAAATAATCCATTAGACAACTGTTGTAAAAATAATTGAATTAAAATATCAAATCAGGGTAGCAAGTCAGGTTTACAAAGCCAAAGAATTGCCAACCAGATAAAATAGAAGGGAGTAGGAGGTCAGAAGAACAAAGCTGAAGAAGGGCATCCTGGGTGGTGGTATGATATTAGAGTAAGTGTCCACCACTCATCTTTATTCACTGTTTCAGCTCCCACCTACCTGGATTCAGGCAAAACAAAGGTCAAAGCTTTCCTGAGTTTCTACAATTGATTTTCTGGCTTGTCCTCTACCTCTTATGGCAATTATAAGAACCAGATTCTATGCACCAAGCTTCCTCTTCAATCAATTTCCTAGATATTTTTCACCTAGTATTCTGGAGAAGGACATATGGGTATAGACCTTAAACTGTATCTGTTTGTTCATTCATTTATTTGTTTGTTTATTTTTATACAGGGTTTCTCTGTAGCCCCAGCTGGCCTGGATCTCCGTATGTAGACCATACTGGCTTTGATCACACAAAAGTCCACCTGCCTCTGTCTCTCAAATATTGGGATTTAAACTATATCTTGGCAGATAAATACAACCAGGGCACAATGTGCTTGATAATCTCAAGAGACTTCAATAGATCTAACAAAGTATGAATCTGGCAGCAGAGAGGGGACAGAAATGCTGAATAAAAGCCAAAAAGTCTCCTACCTGGAAGACACCTACCTCATCTGACTGTTACTATTCATTACCTAAGGTTTGACAGCTACTTTTTTTTTTTTTTGCTGTAATGTACCTTTAACAATTGTTTTTGGAACATTGATCAGTAACATGTTAAGCTTTTCTGAGTTGCTTCATAGGTATAAACCTTTGCAGTAAGGTAAGGACAATAGGGAAAGTTGAAGTTGTCATTAATATGGAAGAGAACTTTTTGCA